ATAAACACTTTGCATCAGTTTTCATTCCTAGTATCTGTGAGATGTATCTATCAAAAAACATTACAGTGAAATGACTTATAGTCTGGACTGTGGAGCCATCAGCCTTGGACTCTTATTCTAGTCCTACCACTGGCTAGCTCTGTGACCTTCACAAGTTCCTCATTTTACTGTCATTTACATTTTACAGATGGGTGACTTGCAGTGTAGAGAAACATAACATGCTATATCATATAGCTAGCAAGTGAATGAGCCAGAATTTAAATAATCCAGGACAGGCTGTGCTCTTCTTGCTCTGCTTTCTTGTCGGGGATGATGACTGCTAAAGCACCTACAGACTCAAAACACTGTGATGTGTGAATAATGGAATTGATGATGAAAAGCTCCATTCTTTCAACCAAATCATCTGAAAAGTTGTGGAAAGGAGTACAATTCATAAAGGAAGCATTAATTTAGCAGTGATTCCTCAGTTGTCTTCAGTGTTCTGTAAGATATTACTAGATTCTTATTTAATAAAATGCTCATAAGGCAGATCAGCATGGGAACTGTGCAGCATGGCTCTGTTTTAGAGAAACACAATCCAGACCAACACATTAAAGACTGTGAGAAGACTTATGCTTAAAATAACAACACCCGAAAACTGTTGACTTTGAAACTTGTGGACTCCACAGAAAAAATTTTAAGAAATAGTAACCTGTATGCCTCTTTATGTAATATGTATGTATATTCTTAGGAGTGTGTGTAAATTAAAATCTTGGAAATCAGTCATTTTTTGAAAAAGAAGAAATATTGTAACTTAAAGGAAACAATTTTATACAGAAAAAAGCCATCCTCAAATTTATTCATTACTTTAAATCTATGTTAATACAATGGGTTTTCCTAAATAAGGTTATGTCAGTGTCTATAAAATCAAGAGGAAATACGAGATTTTTAAAAATTTATAACTCAATTTTATTATTCTTGATCATTGAAAGGAAAAGCTAGAATGATATCTTTATCATCAAGAAATTTTTATGCTTTTTATAAAACAATGAAACCACATTGTGAAGATTGACTCACACGGAACTGAGATGTTATCTGGATTCTTTCCCTTGCCTGTGTTTTGTTTTTGTTGTTGCTGTCATTTTTAAACACCATTTTGTTCCCCATTTGAAACTACAAATGAATTAGATAAAATCTTTAAATAGTGAAAAGTCAAATTGCTTTTTCACTTCCTGTTTCATCTTGTTCTAATGCTGCCCTTGGTTAGAAAAGAAGAATTAAGTAATTTGATTAGATATGTTGCACAAGAATGGAGACAGCTCTGAAAATGGAAAGGGTGTGGTTTTGAGAGTGAGACTGCCCTGGATTTGAAATTACGAGAAGCAGATACTGTGTGACAAACATAATGATAGATGCCATTTACACTTTATCTAACTTGGTTTTCACAATAACCCTCCTACCTAAGAAGGTAGTATTTTTAAAAATGAAGACTTGATACTCAGCTAAGTGAAGTGACTAGCCTAGATGCCATATTTCTTTTCAGAAGTCAGGAGAAGCAGCTGTGACTCTGCTTCATTCCACAGGGGTCCTGAACTGTAAATAAACCTAGGTTAGAAGGGATAGGTGATTGCGATGTGTTAAGAGGTCTGTAGAAAAAGGAATTCTACACCCAATATCCCTTTTTAAGGACTGTAATCAGGAAGAAACTATTTTTCTCTGCATGCTATGAAACCTAAACTTATTTTACCAGAGAAGCCCATTGTTACATGTGGTATTTAGGTTCCAGACACATTATTGATTGGATAAATTCTAAGAACTCATCTGAAAAACTAATCATCATTTACGATTCTATTTTTTTAGAAAGTACATCCTAACTTAAATACAACTAGCTTACAGATATTTGGAACATAAGGCATTCATAAATCTGGGATTGCTATATAAAGAAATTTACTTTCAAACTTTAAATTCACAAATCACAAAGTTGATTTCAGATGTATCACTCAGATGCCTGCTTTTATACAATTTTTATTTCATTTCCTGCCTATTTTAAGAAAGGAGATGCTCACATATTTATTTATTTATGTCTGTGTTTTGGAATCATTGTCTTTATTGTACTTATGCATTTATTTCTCCCAGGTCAAACCCTTTATTTCTGAATGATAGCAGCTTTACCAAGATATTAATAAAAAAGATTTGAATAGTGCAAGGTAATTTGTTGTGCTCTATTCTATAGTAGAATTATGAGCAAGCAGGTTGTTAAAAACTTTTTTGTTTTACTTTGTATACTTCATTTAGGCTGGGCTTTTTCATGTAACTGATGTACCAAACCTTGGCATGGCATCTATATATTATATAATAGTATTTTTACCTAAAAATGTTTTATTTTCCAGAGTTAAGACTTTTGGGTCAATAATAGTGAGAGCCATTGGCTAACCATTTTATAGTCATTACCAACAGGGATGCAGTAAAAACTTTGAAAATCATTTTTGTGTGGTTGAGGGTGGGCAAAGGGCGATAAATTGAGTTTTTATTTATGCCCTAACACACAGAATTATGTAAATGTGAAGGCTCAATGCCTACCTACACTCTACATTAAAAGGAATATCTTAATGTTCTTTGAAAGAACTTTTTTAAACAATTGCAAGCTTACAGAAAAGTTACAAGTCAAATGTCAAGATCTTCCCCCTCAAAATACATGAGAGCAAGTTGTTTACATGGTTCTCCATTACCCCAAATATATTAATATGTATTTCCTACTAACAGGACATCGACTACATCACTACCACTTACCAAGTCAGGAAATGAATATTACTACATTACCACCATTTAATCATGAGACCCTATTAAAGTGTTGCTTATTGTCCCAATAATGTCTTTCATGACAAAAGGATCCGGTGAAGAACCATCCAAATCATACATTACATTTAATTATCATGCTTCTTTCAGTTTCTTTCAAACTGAACCAGTTTTTCTGTCTTTTTTTTTTTTTTGCATTTATAACCTTGACATTTTTAAACATCATGATCAGTTATTTTGTAGAAGGTCCCTAAGTTTGGGTTTGTCTGATGTTTTCTTGAGATTTAGGATATACATCTTTGGCAGAAATTGCTGCTAAGTTCTCATTGCATTCTGTCAAATGGCATATAATTTGATTATGATTTTCACTTTGAACATTTGATTAGTGTGGTGTCTACCCACCATCCCTACTGTAAAGTTACTCTTGTTTCCCCTTTGCAATTAACACCTATTTTGTGAGGAAGAGGGGAGTGTCTTGAAACTCTGTAAGTGTATTTCTTACTGGTCTTTCGGTTTACTCATTGATTTATTTATATCAGTATAGACTCATGTTTTCCTTTTTTATTCAGTGCATCAAAATCTGTTGATATTGTTTATTATAAGGTTCAGGTTGTCTCCAGTTTGGCCAATGGGAGCACATTCAAGATGGGTTCTGATGTTTTTTTGACAGTATTCTCATCATTCATTGAGTAGTTCTTGCTTTATGGTGTAACAAGATATTTCAGGCTCATCAGGTACTTTCTGAGCCCCAACCTTGGAACCACTTACTTCTCCAAGGAATGCTGGTTCTCTTGTAAAGGAAATAATATTTAGAAGACATGGTCTGTGCTCTAGGTCCACTCATTGGTATTAGAGCACTACTGTTGCTTTCCCCAGGCCCTCTCCGTGGACACAGCTACTCTTATGTGCATATAGTGTCTTGTATTTTTTAATCTGTATATTGGAAACCATGAGTCCACACCAGTGCCTCCAGTTCTAATCCCAACAGTGCAGAGTTCATTCTACACATTTGTTAACTCCTCTTTTTGACAAAGAGAAAATGGTGTTCTATTACCTTTAATGCATTTTCCTTGATCAGTCTTCCTGAAAGCAACCATTCTATCTCTTCTGTATGGATGCTCTCTTCTCCTTGCTTGAGCTCTGACTCCTCATTCTAGGTTGTCCCTTGCCCCATGTGGACATTCCTTACCTTGCTGAGGCTTATACAGCCCACATAGGCCTGTTCTTCCTCAAGCTTTAAGTTCTCATGCCTGGCTGTCCTTTCCTGAGTCCCGTGTGGACACCCCCCTCAGCCTGCCTGTGCTCTGACACCTCATGCCCTGTGCCTCTTCTCAGATGTCCTTCTCACTGGGCTCTGCCACACTGTTCTGGGTCACTGAATTATGGATGGTGTCCTCACTGCTCTCAAACTCTGACTCCCATGGCTGAGTCACCTGCCAAATGTGTACACTCTCCTTATCCTTTGGATTCTGATACCTCACACTGGGCAGCCACACCATGTAGATGCTCCTCATTCTGCTTGGGCCTTGACCCCCCACCCTAGACAACACCTGAGGAGAGATTGTCCCATGTCATCCACCTTCCTCAGCCCATTCAGGCTCTGACACCTCGTGCCTGGCAGCTCTCCTACTCACCCTCATCCTGCCTGGCAGTAGCCCCTTGTTCTGGCACACTGCAGCTCCTCCCACAACCCCAGGCACAGATGCCCATCTTTGTGGGCTCCACCTAATGTTCAGTAAGGGAAGGGGGAAGAAGAGCCAAAAGGCTTATTAAAGTATTATGAAATTGTGTTCTGAAATGTTTTATTTAGAGGATCCCTTTGCTAGCTATTATAATGAAAATCAGAGCAAAAAGTTGAATTTGATGTACAAAAATCATTTTATTAGATTTTTTTATATTAGATAAGTTTACTCATATGCCCTGAATTATCTCCATTGATTAAATACTTTAAGATCAAATGAGAGATCAAGAAACTAAAAGTTCTATGTCTATTCTAGATGAAAGCATTTATAAACTGTCAGTTTAATATTATCTTATCCTGTCTACTTTCTCATATTTGATTTTGTCATTAACTATGGCACTGGTATATGAGTTGGGTGAACCTTTACATATGTTCTTACGTAAAGCCGAAAAAAAATTGCAAAAAGAAAAAAATAAAAATGTATAATGACCTTAAATAAACATGTTTATAACTTGATTTTTTTTTTCCTGTCTTGTTTAAATAGAGGAGTCTTCATTTTGGCTTCCCTTATATGGCAACATGTGCTGCCGCCTAGTTGCCCAGCCAGTGTGTATGGCTGAGGATGCGTTTGCAGGATTTCTTAATCAGCAGGTTGGAGGACTTTACATTTCGTACAATTATAGCTGCAATCTAGATTTTAATATACTGGCAGTTATTTCGCCTTCTGATAATAAGTATTTTTTAAAGCCTCTTTTAAATGGTAGTTTTCTCCATGTTAGACATAGAATGGGGATGGGGGGTGAAGGGGCTGAGGGTGAGAAGGGGGGAAGGGGAGGGGTCCAGTGCAGTTTTGATGGCTAAGGAGCTACCTATCCAGGTTCCTTGGCTTCATAACAGCAGGAACAGGATAATCAGCCGCAGAGGACTCCTTGTGGAAGCAGATGAGGACTGTTCCACACCTTTCACAGAAAGGCCTTTCTGGCAAACAGCTTTTGGCACAGTTTTAGGCCTCTGGGCTCCCAAAGCTGCCTCTGTGCCACCTACTCCTGATTTATTTATAACCAGACTTATTTATAGTCAGTAAATAATTAATTATGGGCTTCAATGAATCAATAACTTTTTTTTTAAAGATTCCATTAAGAGGAAAGAAAATTTGCATTCTTAAAGGGTAGTCAACATTTTCTAGTGTTCTGAGAATAGTAAGGGAAAATTATATTTTGAATATTGAGTTATTTTTATAATTTTTTGCGTCATCAGATGGATTGCTGTGGAATTTTAAGCACTAATTTTGAATAGACTAGCTTTTCTAAAACTGCATTGATTTATGATTTTATGTGTGTAAAAGTTATGTGGTATTCATTGCCTCCATTTTGCTTAATATTTTTGAGAATTTCAAACCCTTCTGTGATATTAACTTCCTCTGATTTTGGACTGTTGACTTACTGCACACTAAATTAATGGGTAACTCTATCACATCTAATTTTTTTTAATTAATAACTTTAATAATTGAAGTATTTTGTTGAATTTAATGATGATAAATAATGATTAAGGTTAATGGCTTCTTGAATTTTTTTTCAGCAAATGGAAGAAAGCCTAATTAGTTGGAGAAGGTTGTATTGTGTTTTAAGAGGGGGTAAACTCTATTGCTTTTATACTCCAGAAGAAATTGAAGCTAAAGTGGAACCAGTTTTGGTAGTGTCCATTAACAAGGTAAATAAAATGTTATTTTAAAAATAAAGATACAACATTTTGTAAAGTTTGTTCTTTTCTATACAATTCACATTGTTAACATTTTATGGACAAAAGAGAAGGACTGCTAAAATAGATTAGTTCAGGAGTGCCTGGGTGGTTCAGTTGGTTAAGCATCTACTTTCATCTCAGGTCATGATCCCAGGGTCCTGGAATTGAGCACTGAGTAGGGCTCCCTGCTTAGCGGCGAGCCTGCTTCTCTCTCTCCTTCCTGCTTGTGCTCTCTCTCTCTTGCTATCTCTGTCTCACTCTTCCAAATAAATAAGTAAAATCTTAAAAAAAATAAAAATAATAAGTTAAAAAAATAGGTCAGTTCATAAAGATAAAGTAATCTTCTTATTTTTTTTTCCATAACAGAGCTTATCTGGTAAAGGAAGTACTGTATATTTCCTAAGAAAACATAGTAATTGGAAATCTATACCAGTAAATGGGTTTTAAAACAGAGAATGCAACTTCACATTAATACTTAAATTTTTCATGAATTTAAGAGATTATAAACAAATTTTTAGCTCATGTTACAACAATTCTTTTCGTAGTTAATATTCAAATGATCCCATAAAAAGACATTCCTGAGAATACTTCCTGATTTCTTATGGGATTGATGGGCAGTTGTCTATCCTGGTGTCAAAACAGGAAAGCCTGACCCCTCCCCCTCCACCGCACACACGTGCACAAAAGCAAACACACACACACACACACTTACCCCATCGTCTTAAATTTTTCTTCATCTGTTATCCAAGCCTTGCCTCCCCCCCCGCCTTTTTGGCATTCCTACTCTGGAGTACTTTAATGGCATTTCTAGAGAAGAATATCATGTTTTCTATCCATAGCTTGTACTTAATTGTTTCTAGTTGTTTTACTTTGCTTGCTTTTGGAGTGGTTGAATTGAAGGCTATGGTAAAGTATGAGCCATCACATCTGTTAACTACATGTTCTTTTCTTTTTGTAACTGTACATGTTCTACTTGACTTTAAATTATCTTTTGAAAAAAAACATAAAGTTGTATGTCCTGAGAAACATATGTATACTAGTTTGCTAATCTATAAGGATTTGAGTTAATTTATCTGATCTTTTCCAGTAATAACATTTGGTCTGTTTCCATCCTGCTTTTAGAAATGATATTGCTTTTTCTTAAAGGAAATTCTTCAGTAAGACCTTTAAATTAAGTCCACTTAGTTTATCTGTTCTGTATATTAGGAAGATTGCTGTTATTTTTAAATAATAAATGTTAAAGTTATAACATGATGAATTTATTTAGGGTTAGATAATTAGGTTTATGAAAGTATATTTTTATTATTGAAAAAGTGATATTTTTTCATTACTTGCCAATGTTTTGTTTTGTTTATACAGTGTCCACTTTTCCCCACCTTTTGAAAATTTCAGATGTGCAGAAAAGTTGAAAGAATAGAATAATGATTAGTAGTATACTTCTCACCTGGATTTTTCAGCTGTTGTTAATATTTTCCCATATTTGCTTTCTCTTTAAGTAGTTTGAGTTTTTTTTCAGAACCATTTGAAAGTAAGTAGCAAACAGCATAACTTGTTTCTTCCCTAAAATATTTCAACAATGTTTCTCCTAAAAACAAGGACATTTCTTTTATAACCATAATATTATTACCACACTCAAAAAATCTATTGTTGATAAAATAATATCTAATATAAACAGAAAATTATCCCAATTGTCCCTATAGTGTTCTTTCTAATCTTTGTTTATTGTTTGATCCAAGACCCCCATCAGGGACCACAAATTAGCATCTGGTCACCATGTATTTTGATTGTTTCCTTTTTATCTAAATTGGACCCATCACTCACTGCCTCTTTTTCTTTTATTGTCTTTTATTATATTGACATTTTAGAAAAGTCCATGCCAGTCCCCATATCTGTTTTTGACTAATTGTTTCACTAAATTCAGGTAGCTGTTTTTGACAAGAATTCTACATAGATGATTCTGTCTAAACTGTTTTTCACTAGGTACCTAGGTAGTAAAAATGGAATTCGCTTACATGTTGCACAATAGAATAAAAATCATCCTGAAACTAATTAAAACATAATCTAATAAAGGATATTTTAAAATTCATTTATTTTATTTGAAAACTCTTTTCAAGGTATTCATTTTACCATATCAGTCCTTTATGGCAGACAGAGCCGGTAAGTCAGCTCTGTTTTATAGGTATGTTATTTCTGTTTTATAAGTGAAAAAACAGACTCACAGATCAGATAGAACTTGTCTAGCTAGTAAGTAAAATTATATGGCTCACTGTTTTTCTATTTCCTCACAGACATACTGCTAGACTAGATCTGGAAGACAAAATTAGACTTTTTCCTATCTCCGTACCCACTCTGAATAAGTTTTGAAAGTAAGAAGTATCTCTGAAATGAGGTTGTGAGCCTGAAGCCACAGTTTCAACCTCAAGGCAATGGTGTAGATATGTGTTGAATCTTTAGCATTTAAATTTAAGAGGACAGTTATAGTGGAACCCCACTGTTACTGTAGCCAGGGTATCTGTATTTTCTTGTCTGATGACAAGGGTGTAATTCCAGAAAAGCAGTTAACAGTGTTTACATGGCCCAGCTGAATTGACCTTTTTTCAGTTGACTCATTTTTCCTTATGGTAATAAAAGCTGATGGCCTGGTGACTGATGTGATTTGGTAGTCAATCAGCTCCATTATTAAGATGACTGAAATCACCATACTTAGAAATCCCAGTGGTGGTTTCACAATTGACCATTACAAATTCACAGGAAAATGATTAATCTAGTAATTTGTATAGACTTGACCTTAGACTTGGGGACAACGTGGGCTGTATTTGACCCTGAGGACTGATGACATAAATTGTCATTGTTCATGACTTTTGTCTCAAGTACAAAAGAGGATTCTAAGATTACACCATGAAATAAGGGTTAGGTTGAGAAGGTTAATAGAATTTAGTTGCTGATCTCAAAGATTGAACTGATACCAAGGTGTTCCATTCTCTAGTGTTGTGATGTTGCTATCTTCATTTTCTCTGGGGCTGATTCCTGCTCTCTCTCTCTAGCAGTGCTCCTGTTGGCAGTTCCTACTCCCACTTCGGGTTTCCTTTGAACCCTTCCATTCACCTGAAAACTGTTCTTTAGCAACAAACACCCTGGTTTCCTTATTTAAATATGACTATTTCTATCAAGAAGTCTATTTGTTTCTTCTGTAAGCCTGACTGCTATGTAGTTATATCTTCTATTAAAGTCATTTTTACTTATTTTTTCTCAACTTAGCCAATGATTCAGATTTATGGAGAAGTTGAAACAATACTAGAGGTACACTCATGCCACCTGGATTCAGCAGTTACTCTTGCTGTCCAGTTTGCTTTATCTCTAGGTGTTCTTCTTGGGGGGAGTTGAAGCTCTTTGTATTTTGTTTTTAATTTGTTTTATGATGGTATAGCTTACATAAAATAAAATTTACCAATTGTAAGTGTACAATTTGGTAACTTCGACAAATAATATATGGTTGTGTAATCATTACTACAAGCTTTGAATTATAGGTTTTTTAAGCATTTCTGTGAGAACATTTAAGTTCTATTCTCTTCACAAATTTCAATTATACAGTAGAGTCGTCAACAATAGTCACTTTCAGACCTTATTTATCTTATAGCTGTCAGTCTATAAAGCCTCTTACCTACATTTTTTGCTGACCCATTTGAATATGTCTCCAGCATTGACACTTCATCCCTGAATATTTCAGCATGCAACTATAAAATATAGGAAACTCTAAAATGAAAGTGTGTGAGTGTGTTTGTGTGTGTAAATGAAATTACAGTACCATTATCACAGCTAACCAAATGAACAGTAATTATCTTACATCATCTAATAACCCAGTCCATATTCACATTTCCCCATTTTCCCTAAGATGTCCTTTTAAAAGCTTTTGCTTTCAATCTAGGAATGTTCAAGGATTATGCATTCTTAAACTGTAAATTAGGTCTAGAGGCTTGATTAGATTCATTCTAAACACTATTTACAAGCATGTTTCATGCATGATGACAAATACTTTATAGGGCATTCTGTTCAGGGGCACATGATGTCAGGTTGTCTCATTATTGCCAATGTCATATTTAATGACCTGGTTAAGGTGGTGCCCCCAACTCTCTCCAGCATAAAGGTAAGTTTTCCTCTTTACTATTAGCAGGTAGTCAGGGAGGTGATAGTTTGGCACTGTGTGAATATCTTTGTCGTCCAATAGTCTTTCACATAATGGTTTTAGTGACCTGATTGCCCTTGTCTGAATTGCTTATTACACTGGAGATTGCATATGTTATTCTCATAATATCCCTCATTCTACATGTGTTAGCTGGCATTCTTTTGTAAAGGACTTTTTTTCATCGAGTAGGAATGAATCCCAGTCCCTCCTGAAAAGGCAGGATGAAAGCTTACTGTTTTAATTACCAGTTTTCAGAGTAAGGAGTTGGTATTACATATTGGTCTTACACGGATATTGGCTCCAATATAGGTCTTGGAGCAGTATTACTCTCTCCAGAAGAAGCAAATGAGCATTGTGTCTGTTCTGTTCTTCCCGTATTAATGGTAAACTCATAGATTTTCATTTATTCAATGTTTTAAATTACTTGGTTTTTAAATATAAGGTAGATGTTTTTTATTGTTTGACTTTGGAAATTTCTAAGGATACATGTATTAGTATATTCTCAAATAAACAAGATCTTTGATAAATGCCAACTTGGTATTTTCTGATCTGTAGAGCTGGTAAGCACCAAATAAAACTTAAAGAATAGTGATTTTGTTTCAGTTTTTAGTATATTTTCGATCTTGGGTCTCTAAGATCTTTTTATGCTTAATAATGTTAAATATTAAAGAACAAATCAGAATTTTTTTCTTTTGGTTGTCTTCTCTCATGATTTAGAAAATAATTTTGTTTAATGCCACTTTAAAAATTACGTAAAAACATACATTTTGCAGTTGCTAAGGTATAT